TTTGATGATTACAGCACATCATCTCCAGGATACCTGTGCTATATTTATTACAGTACTGTTTATTTGATACAATATTAATAATCACAATACAGTTATAATATAGTTAGCTATAATAGACTCTCTTAATATAGACTTTCAATTGAAAATCATTTCTCAGTATTATAATAATAGCTATAATAATAATAATATGGTTTTTTATTTTTATTAGTATTATTGTTAGTGTTGTTATTATGATTATTATTAACTAAATAATGTGTTTTTGTTGTTGTTGTTAACAATTTGTTTGCCTAGTCATTAAAAATCAACAACAAACTTTTTTAATGTATATTTTTTTGATAATTTATTTATTTTTGTTTAATATAAAAATATATCCATTAATACTTCTAATAACTAGACATGACTTGACCTTTACATAAATGATAATCTTTAACAAGTTTACCGACTAATGATTATAAATAATAATAATAATAAAATATAAATAATAAGATAAATACAGTATAAGCAAATAATTGTTAATAATAATAATAAAATACGATTAAAGTTTAAATAAAAAACTATTTTTCAAAAATAAATTATATGATAAATTCAAGTATTAAATTTAGATAAAATGTTATTAAAACGTTAAAGAGTTTATCAATGACATTGATTTAATGGATTTATGATTTATTTTAATGTAAATTTTTTTATACTGTTTGATTATCAATCAGGTTATTAAATAATAATACTAAATGAATATAACATATTATTATTATTATTTAGCGAAACAAAATTTTATAATAAAAATAACTGTCTAAATGAGTTTGTTGTGAAATGGGGGTAAAAAATCATTAGTGACTGCACCTTATGATTAGCAAATGAAATGCTTGAAAAAATAATATATTTTAATAATAATAATAAATAAATAAATAATTAGATTATGATTGAAAAGGAGAGGACTGTTGTCAACAGTTTTAAACTCATGTCATATCTGTTAACTCTATCTAAACGTCTAATGGGATCGACTCTTATAAATCAAATCATATCTTTATTTACTTTTTAGTCAGTCTTTTCTCAAAATTATAAATTAAATGTTTGCGGTGTAAGTGTGTGTATGTATGTGTGTGTGTGTGTGTGTGTGTGTGTGTGTGTGTGCAGGCATTATATGATGATATGATGTGTTGGTTAGTTAGACAAAGGGGTCGTCGACACAATTGAGTTGATGGGCACAACTAGTTTCTCTCAATAAATTTATATATATATATATATATATGTATTTATCTTTTTTGGCAAACCATTTATTGCGTGGGAAAACTTGTGATTTAATATGACTGGTGATGGGTCTGGTAATTGGCCGGTGCTTTGCCTCAACAGTACTCCTCAAGTTCTTACTGCACATATACCTAACCCACAAAAATCAATGCAAAAAAGTTTCCGGTGGTCTCTCTCTCTCTTTCTCTCTCTCTCTCTCTCTCTCGCTCTCTATCTATTTATCTAACTATCTATCTCTACCCCCTTTGAACGGCGGCTTTTAAATTTGACCGCAAAAAAACTTTTTTAATTTATTTTTTATTAGTCTTAACGCTTAAGACTTTACTTTTTTCAGCGAAACACAGGAATAATAAGAGAGAGAAACGAAAGAAAGAAAGAGAGAGAGAGAAAAAAAAGAGAAAAAAAGTTTTACATTTCTGTTGACTCCTATGTGTTGTGTGTGTGAGAGCACAGGTGTATTGAGTACGTAAAGTTGCCGCACATCTCCACCCGATTTCAAGTCAAACCGGACAAAACTGACACATCCAAGACATTAAACACATAGTGTGTGTATATATATATACAGTACATAAGCTATATTATCAAACAAACAAAATCAGGACTCAGGTATATGTATATAATTTTTTTCAGAGGCCATGCCTTCTGATAAAAATTATGGTAAATCTGCCCAAAAAATTGATAGTTAACAATGACTTGATGGGGGGCTCATATAGCAGGGCATAGACAGGGGGTTAGATCTCTCTATCTATCTATCTCTTCATTGACTGACTGACTCACTCACTCATTCGCTATCATTTAATTCAAGCGTAAAGTTTTGTATTGTTATTGTAATAATGTTCTGATATTTTTTAAAAACACTATTCATATAATACAAAGTATAATAATGTATATCTATATAATAATAATAATAATAATACAATATAATTGGTGTCCAAAATTGTATTACATAATCAATAAAAGCGATTAAATTATACATTCAGAGCGAGTCAATTACTATCTATACATATAATTATAATTATAATCTACTTTTACAACATAATATAATATATAGCAAAACAAAAGTTTTACAATTTATTAGTTAAGTCATATATTTGCAACAAATCCAGACAATTATGTTTATATGTTATACAGAGTGTGTTATACACTTTATATAATATATTGTGTGTTATTATTATTATTAATAATAATTTGAGAAAACTGGTTATTATAATTTAAATATATTTATAAAACAACAACAATAAAAATAATAACAATTTTAATTTGTAAGGAAACACACAAAATTTTCAAAATGAAATTCAAATTATTGTAATAATATTGTATTATATTTACAAATAACTAACCGTTAAGTTTTTTTAAACTAGTAAATCAGTGATTATTTTTTTTTATTATATTTAAACTATAATTTATTATTTTATTAAATTAGATTAAATTAAAAAAAAATATTATAAAAAGCATTGATTTTTAATTAATAAAACTAAATGCATATTAAATATTAGTACAATATATGGGCTATATTAAGCTACCTGTCCTCTAACATACATGTGTGTTCGCCCAGTTTTTCTGTATCGCATAGATTTATGATGTAAACTGTAAAGTATAGTTGAGTTGGTTGGTTGGATTGATGGTGTGTGTGCTGGCGGTGATGTTGATGGTATGGCCCTATTCTTGTGCCTCTTTTTTGAGTGCACACCATATATAACAACAGAGAGAGAGAGAGAGAGAGAGAGAGAGAGAGAGAGAGAGAGAGAGAGAGAGAGAGAGAGAGAGAGAGAGAGAGAGCACAAACGATAAACCTATTTGAGAGGAGTAGTTGTCAGAGAATCAGTTCTGTCTGCCGTTTGCACCATTACTTCAAAAACTACACGACTTTTGCTTTAAGTTGAATATAAATAAAAAAAACTACTCAACACACACACACATATATACTCTATATACACACTCACTCTCTCGTATTGCAGTCATAGTGTCTACCTGTGCTCCACTCAGTCAGTATGTGTATGGCCCTGTCATGTATTGCCTCATTTAGAGCCCAGTTCTCCATCAGACAACACAACCAACAAACAACAACATTTCAATTACAAGGCCTGTCAACTACAGTCACTCATTATATCCACGACTTATTAGTGAATGAGTGAGTGTTTGATTGAAAATAAATTTTTATCGCAAACATTGTGTTTCAAACACATACTGTATTGTTATATACTTATTTGGGAAATAAAGCTCAAACTTTTCACTAATAATTTTGTTTAATTTAATTTAATTAAATTAATTATTGCAAATTTAATATAAAAAAATTGGTGACACATCATTCAAATAATTTTTGTGTATAAAGTTTAATATATATTTTTTTAATTAACTGAAAAGTTTTATCACATTGTGTGTGTGTTTTTGATATTATTTTGGTGTTTTGTATTTCAAGCATTTTATTTAAATTTCCGAAATTGCTATTAGAGTACTATATATACACACACTTTATAAAATTTGTTTCAAAAAAGCTAACGATAATTTGATTATAAAACCAAGTTTTTTTATTGACCAAAAAAACTTACAAAAAAGTTTATATCAATTTGCAAATTATTGTGTCATATATCGTGTTGGTGTTAACCTATTTTTGTTTGGCAATTGCCTATCGATCTGATTTTGAATTTGATAATAAAAAAATTTTATAAAAAAAATCAATAAATGGAGGCCTGGCTTGACATCCAACCGATTCGTATACCTCGACCCAAACTGATGCCCTCCCGGCCCAGTCATACCGGTGCGTCGATTGCCTCGGCCAGATGCAATGGCGATCCCAGTGTGGGCACCGTTGGCACCGGTAATCAGTCCACTGGCAATCAATCATCGGCACCGTCTTCAAGGAGAACGTCCTCCACTTGAAGACAATATATATATATATATATCTCTTTCTCTCTCTCTTCAATCATTTCTTAAATAAATAAAATACATGCCATTTGTTACCATTAAAAGAAATTTTTATATATATTTACTTTTATTTTGAGAAAAAAACGTACATCAGTTGATTACATAACAATATATTTATCCAATAAGTTTATTATTCATACACACAATGTAATGTAAAAAAACATATATAAGTAAATTGTGTTTAAATTGATTTACGATATTATATTTTTGAATTATTTTATTTTGATTTTATTTTTTATATTTGTGTAAAACAAATTTAAATTGAAAATCGTATTCAATATTACTTTTATGTTATATTATTGTCCCATTATATTATAATTTACTATCTAATAATGACACAAATTTAAATATGATTAATGATATCAATTAATTTTTTGGTAAATCAACAAAAAATAAATAAGAATATTCATATATTATAATTTTAAATATAATTTTTAAAAACTAAAACCATATATTCATTATATTACAGTATATTCTCATAAATTATATGTTTTATTAACATTTGATTGTTTAATTTGTTGCCAAATTAAAAATAATTGTTTTTTTTTCAAAATCGCTTGTCTGTGTTGGGAATATATAATTATTATATTAACTATAATAATTCATTTAAACAATAATAATAATTATTATTATTATTATAACAATAAATATATTAATTTACAGTTAATAAAAATAAATTTTTAAATACTTGAATTTAATGTTTTAATAATTGCTATAATATAAATAATTATAATTTAAACATTAAAATATTATTATTGATTTAATTTGATTATTATTATAATCATTTTTTTTTTTGATTAAATTATTATGAAAAATTTGAATAACAGGGAACTAATTACGGTGCGGGTGGCTATCAGAATAGTGAGATTCGACCTCCCGGTGCTACGGGTGATATTAGAGGCAGTGGTAATCATTTACATGTTCCCGGAGAGGGTGGCGACAATCCGGCCTTTTTTGGTATGCATTCGCGGGTCCGACGGCACCGTTCGCTGCCGAGTCCGACCTTTTCAAACGCCAAGAGTTTGCCGCCGACTCAACAACACAGGAGCTCATCATTTAGATTACCGGTAGGTTTGAAAAAATTTAGTTTGAATTGTTCTCAAATGGTTTTATTATTTAATTTAAAGATTTAGAAAATAATAATATTTACATTATAATTATCTATATAAATATTTAGTTAATTTATAGTTTTTTATTATTATTTTTATAAAAAAAATTATTTTAAACAAATTTTCAACTTTATTCTTGACTACAATATTAGATTTACAATAGTATAATTTGATTCAATACAAATTACAATATGAATTTTTTATCATACATATCTAAACACGCACACACATACATACATACATATATATATACATATATATATATACATATATATAAACACATCTATAAAATATAATTTAAAATAATATTTGTTGGCATAAAAAATCAATAATAATGAAAATTTAAACAAGCACATATGTCTCGGCATAGGAAATGATTATTTAAATAAATAAATAAATAAACATATCATACTATTAGTACCGGCACTTATACAGTAGAGTTCATTATTAACTATTGACTATACAATATATAATACAGTATGTTATTTACCGTATATTGATTTTTTTTGGTGCACTAAATAAAGTAAAAATTATGGGATTTACTGTATTTTGATATTATTTTCGTGTCGAGACTTTTTTATTAATAATATTTTAGTGTATAAATTAAAAAATATATATTTATTATATTGCATATGCAGACACATTTATGGGGTAATACCTAATGATATTGAAAGTTAATGTTTAGTTTGAAATATATCATAATATCATAATAATAATATCAGATATTTATTCATAAATGTGTTAATATAAATTTATATCACAATATATTTTAATGTCTATAAACTTATATCGTGTTAAATAATACATTAATGTTATAATTAGATTTATTTTAGTTTGAGAATAAATAATATTATATTTTATTGTCGGGTATTAAAATATATATTTAAAATTTTATTATTGAAATAAATTTACACGAATATTACTTTTATACTAATCAATACTAAATAATCAATCTGAATTTAAAAAAAACAAACTAAATATAATGAATAATTATACAATATATTTATTATATTATTAATTATATTATATAATTATAATATACTTAAGAAAATAATATTAAATATAGATAACTATATATTGATTTTAATATATTACCCGTATAAGTTTATATACGATACTGTACCTACTTTATATAAAATATTTTTTTAATAAAATTTACTTTAACTCAACTTAGTTGTGTGTTTGTATGTATGTATGTATGTATGTATGTATGTGTGTGTGTGTGTGTGTGTGTGTGTGTGTGTGTGTGTGTGTGTGTGTTGTGTGTGTGTGTGTGTTTTTGAATACTACAAAAAGGCAACAAAAATATGCTAATGTTGTATATTTTTGACATATAAAATGACATAACAAATATCACTATATAGAGTACAGATTATTGATATTAATGCAAGTCATGTGCGAAAAAATTTAATATTATTAAAATTTACGACAATTTTTATATAAATATTATTATTTTTTTCATATTTATATATTTTTTTCACTCTACTATTAAAATAATAATAATTCTAATAGTTATTGAAAATATTTTTTTTTAATATAAAGCAAGTTTATTGTTAAATATTATTATTTTTGTTGTTTTATATAAATACAAAAATTTATTATATTAATAGTTTTATTGTTGAGGTTGTTTTATGTATTTTATAATGCATTCAAGTTATGCTAGTTATGTCTGTCTAAATGTTTAAAATTTATGACAATAATAAATATTTCAAAAGAGTTACTCAAAAATATACTTAATTATGAAAATGATGTGTTTTTATATGATTTGTATTTTAAATCCCTGAACGTAACATAAGTTTTTAATTGTTAATTACAATCAGATTTATGTTATTTTATAAAAAAAATAAAATTAGTAACAATTTTCTTTAAATAGTAAAAATATATTAATTATCTACTAAGCTTAATTATTTTAAATTTTAAATTACATCATTTTAGATTTAGCTAAATATAATAATTATTTATTAATATGGTTTCTCGATTTATAGACAGATAATTATAGACATATTTCTAAGTAAATTATAGACAAAGTTATATTTAATATTTGAAAGCTTTCATAATTAAATTTTATGCTATTTTTACTATAAGTGAATTACAATTTTGCATTATTTAACTAAAATGTTTTAATGAATAATTTAATAAAAGATATATTAAAAGTATTTTGGTTTTATTTAAAAAATAATTTGTTTTAAATATAGTTTTAATTATAGTTTATTTATAACATGCCATCATTCGTACACAATTAATAGCATATATGATATAATAATAATAATAATATTTAAATTAGCTATAAATAAATTTTGACTTTTCATTGACCCTGATGATGATGTTGAGCCCAATTTATATTTTTTATTATTACACTACATTATATACCTTATATGTACAATACGTATAAATAATAATAATAATATGCAAATATTATATGAGAGTAAATTTTTTTTTTGAATATCAAGTTTTATATGGTGTGATATTATTAGAATCATTTTTTGTCACGAATATAACCCATTATATAGTGCCCGTAATAATTTTACAATAAATTAATTGCTTTATATGATAATATAAATAAATTATATATATATATAATATTCTGATTTGAAGTTATATTTTTAGTTTACAGTAAAAATCAAAAAATAAGGTTTTAATTTAAAAGATATTGTTGTTTCAAATATTAAAATTATTTATGTATCTAATTTTATTTTTATATTTCTTATATGCAAATATTCTATATCTATATATCTAATGATAAGTTATAACAAATAAAATATAAAGTAATTTAAATAGAGAAAAATCACAAAATTATTTTTATATTTATTTAAATAAATTATTTATGTTTTATATACTGTATATGGTATAATATTTAATAAGTTTATTATTATTTTATTAGTAATTTATCATTTTAGAAAAATAAAACAGTAAATCATTGAGATTTGATAGATAGCATATATCTATATATGTATATATGCTCCATATATTATACAACAGAATATAAATATAACATATTATAATATTAGTTTTAAAAATAAAAATAAAGTATTATATAATATATTGAAGGTATTATTTGTGAAATTTTATTTAAGTTGAATTATCTTATCAGAGATTATTTAATTTATTAATTTATTACAATTATATTTGGCACTATTTATGGATACTGTGTGTAATATAAATACATAAATTATAATTAATAAATTATATTGTAGGACATTTTTTTAAATAATAGTATTGAATTACAATTTACAATCTTATCATTTAATAAATCAGTTGATTATTAGAGACACAAATACTATATATTTTTTGATTACTAAATATATACAATATTTAAGTTTAGAGTATAATTAGAATTCAATTAAAATCTAGTTTTACAACAAATATAAGCTACAAATTTATATAATATATTATGTATAATACAATCAATGGTTTTTTAAAAACTTGTTAACTATATGTCTAATGACTTAAAACATGCAATAGTGTTATATAATAATTGAATTTTTTGTACGAGTATTATAATAATAATAATAATAAAAATAAAAAGTTTTTATGATTTTTGTTGTCATAAAAAATACTAATTTAACAACAATAACAACAACAACTAAAGTTATGCATTATTTTCATTACTACGAAAAAAACGGTAAAAATAGTAAAATCGTTTTATATACTACTTTATTCACAAACAGAGAAAAAAGTGATAAATAAAAATAAATAAAAACACTTTTGCACTAAATTTTTGCTCGTCTTCGGAAAAGTCATTTAAACCATTTGTTAGTTATATATATATATAGTTAGATAAATATAAATTTTTTCAACTTAAATTTATTGCATTTACACAACCAATGTATTATACCGGAACAATATAGTATATAACGATTGAATATAGACATTAATAATGCACTTGAATTCATACACTTTTGAAAAATTTAAATCCTGGCATTTAAATATAAAAAACAAATTCAATACATTTTGTTATTTACCAATGAATGTTTGCATGTTATATACCGTATATCGTATTATACGATTCCTATACAATATAAATATAAATATATATATATTAAATATGTATATTAAATATACTATATTTATATATATGAAAGTAGTTGTCTAGTATAAACTAGAAATATATATTTATATAAATTTAAAAAATTATACTTGAAATAATTTATGGCTAAATCTTATAATAGTAATATTGAATATAAAAAATAATAGTTTTTTCTTATTGATTAATTTTATTATTTTTTCTGATTTTATATATATATATATATATATATATATATATATATATATACTTATAAGATATCTATAGTTAAATAAAAAATAAAAACAATATTTTATTTCACGTAACTGGAGATCAGTTTAGAAGATTTGTCATATGAAGAGCACACATATCCTCTTTACTGATGCACTCAAAAACAATAAATATATTGACAAAGCCTTTAAACTCAAAATAGGATATATTTTTTGGATTTTTTTTCGGTAAAAATAAGTAATTTTTGTTTTATTATATTTTCCTCTTTTTTAAAATAATAATAATATATAAGACATCTTTAAAATATTTGTAACACAATTGAAGAAATAATTGAGAAATTTCTATATTTTTCATAGTGTATAACATAATTGTTTTTTCAGATATTATGACATTTTTGTTGTTGTTGTTGTCATTATTGTCATTGTTTAGTTGAATCTATTGGACTTAAATCCGGTCCATTATATTAACAAAGTAAAAGACATAACAAACATCAGACTAATAAAGATCAGGAAATAAATTGACAAATAATTAAAAATATTATTTTGTTTGTTTTGTTTTTTTTTTATTTTAAAATGATATTGTTTATTATTTTTCTATAAAAAAATTAATTCTTAAAAATATGTTAAGCTAATATTTTACAAACAGTTAATGTTTTATTTTTATTTTTAGTTATTATTTATTTTATAATATTCATAAATTAATTAAAAAATTTTAAATATTATCTTAACTGTCGGACTCACGATTCAACGATTAGTTTAGTATTATTTAAACTAAACTTAATACCAATAATAATATCTGAATATTTATGATTGTATTGTTATAGAGTGTTATTAGTAAAATTCAATGCTATCAATAATACTGAATAAATATATGACTATTGAAATTGTAGCGATAATTAGTTAATTTAATGATTTCATTAAATAACGGTATTATACTAATAATAATAGTGATATTAACAGTTTGTTTGATTTTATTATTATTAATCTATACTAAAGTCTTCCGGTCACGATTTTTAATGGATATAACTTTTCAATTCATAATAAAACATTTAAACTGTTTTTTTATTAGTTTGCAAATCATCACAATTTTCAATAAAGGATAACACACATTAAAATATTAAATATTAAATAATAACTGTATTTGTGATAAATAATGACAAATTAAATTTTTTTTATAAAATAGTAGATAATTTTATTAATAGTATTTATTAATAATTTTCAAATAAATTTTTACAATAGATATTTTCTGGATTTATTTATAATATAATTTTATCTTACATATTTTTAAAATTTTAATAATAAATAATTACAAAAAAAACTTTTTTTTAGTTTAAGATATAAAATAATTCAATATCTAAAAGTTTTTTTGTAATTTTAATTTTGATAATTTAATATACAGACAAAATTTTTTATTATTATTTAATGTTGAAATTAGATATTTATTTCTTTATTATTGCAAATATAAGCATTTTATTTGTTATTATGTCTTTTAAAAGCGAATTTACTGTAAATTTAATTTACAATAAAACATATCTTTTTATAATAAGTACAATAAGTTGTTGATTACATTTTCAATAATAACTACAACACTTTACATATTTTCACTGGTAATTACACTTAAGTTTTAACACAAAATTATCTACACATAAAAAAATAATAAAAAATTTACTTAATATAAAATCCTTTATTTATAATGTTATTAGTACTGTATTTATGCATTATGTGTTAAAAATTAAATTTACCTAATTTTAATATCCGTTTACGATTATTTATGCATTAATGCACATTAATTTACAGGAATATATAAAGTATCATATAATTATCTATAAACTGTAGACATTATAAAATATGAAATATATACTGTATATAATATTAAATCTACCTTTAATATTATATACAGTATATATTTCATATTTTATTCTACCATGTTTATATAAATATTTTTTAATATATATATATATATATATATATAAAACAGAGTCATCGTGCCATACGTGAACAAAATGGTCAGTGGAGGGTATCCGTCAAAAAGTCAAAACCCATTTTGGGTATCGCTATTGAGGGCGGCGTTAATGTGCCGTCACAACAACAGCCCCGCATTATTAGCATACATGTAAGTGTTATATATTATTATTATTATTATTATATAACATTGAATACATTATATTAAATAAAAAATATATGTATAAATATTCATAAATAAATTCATTATAATTATTATCAAGTTTTCCAGTGATTATGTACAGTGTTTATTGTTTGTTAGATGATATATTAGACATTATAATAAACCAGAAAAATACTTATATATCATTATTGCAAACATGTAGTCATATCTAATTGAATAATTTTTGCTAATAATTAAGAAAATTGCTTATATATATGTATACTATATGATAATAATGTTGTTTTGTTAAACAATTAAAATCATCCTAATTATAGATTAGCCCAGTTTTTTCTATACAATAATATACCGTTTATTATTATTAGATGAATCAGGCCATCAACAAAAAAATATATATACAGTCATATTATCCATAATAAATCATTTTTTGTATCTTATCTAATCGTTTGATATAATTATTATATAATATACGGTACTTAATAAATATATGATTTTGTGGTTATTATCACATTTGAGAGGCGAGCAAACAATTTTATATTTGACTGGTTTATTATTGTTTAATAAATTTATTGCTACTATTTTATTAGCCGAGGATTTAGTGTCATATATAATATATTTAATATTTGATACAAAGATAGTGTATAAATGAACATTAAATTTATTATTATTATTATTATCATTATTATTAATATGTGCGATATTTAGAGTAAAGATAGCCCTAAATAAGGATAATGACGTTTAATAATTTATAAAGTTTAATATTCAATATATGACACATTTTATGATAAAATTATTACCACAATAATAGATTTTATTGTATGGACAGTAATCAATAAAATCTGATGTTATATTATATGTTGGGTTTATTAAAAGTAATACTGGATTAATAATATTATAGCTAATGAAACAAAAATGTTGCAAACTTTATAAAAATTTATTTGATATTCAAATAATTGAGTTAATATTTTACTTTAAAAAATTATCTTATAAATTTTAGTCTAATTTGAAATCAAATAAAATTATTAATTTAATTAAATATCTAAATATATAATTTTGTTTAACTTATATTATTCATCTCTAAGTTATGTTAATGTCATAAATATTTAGTTTAATATATATATTTAAAAAGTGAATTACTTGAAAAATTCAATAATAACTTTTTTTTAAATTTTTTGATTATAAGTATCACCTAATTTTACATTGAAATAAATTAGAGATATTTTTAATATAAATAATATAATGTAAATATTAATACTAAAATTGTTTTAAAATAGCAGAAATATATGTTTACATTATTTTTATTTTTATACTGTTTTTATATAAATGAAATCTTATTTTTAATATCATTTAAAATAAATCAAATAAATGTAATGATTGAGCTAAATTTTTGTATATACATAGAATTTTCACTTTAGTTTATTATATAAACCTCAGATAATAATAATAATAATAATATAAGTGAATTTATATAAACAAAAATTATAAACACATTGCAAAAAATTCCTCAAAAATATGTTTGCAATAATAAATCATGAAATGTGTGAATACTCTACTATTATTACTAACTGACTAACAAAAGCTGTTACATATGTTTTTAGAGAAAATTGAATGAAAAATAAATTAACATTTTTTTGTGTGTGTATTTTGTTAGGCAAAAATGTTTACAATAATATCGGATAATCTATTTTATTAAATTATATATTTATTTTCAAAATTTTTTTCTCTTATTTTTTGATGATTCAACAAAAAATTTTTATATATATAAATTCTTCTATTTATTTATGAGAGACACATGTTTGTCATATTTATATATAAATATATTTCAATAAACAAAAATTATTATTATATTTGTTTTATTTATATAACGCAGAGCTCCGGTTCGGCCATCGAGTGTGGAGATCTACACGTCGGTCATATACTGCTTGAAGTGGACGGCCGGTCGACGGCCAACATGACCCACGATCAGGTGGCACAGATGATAGCACACGCCTACTATAATACACAACATAAAGATTTTATTGAATTTTTGGTCCGCGAAAAATCCAAACACGAATTTGACTTAAGAAGATCGTCGTTCATGTTATTGAATAATAGTTTTGAATAATAAATTTTTAATTTATAAAAAAAACACAAACTAACTGACCAGTGATGTTAACAATAATTATCATATATATCTTGATGTCTCAACAAATTTATTATTAAGATTATTAAACAAAAATTTTAATCAATTTGTTATTTTGAATTTATATTTATTAATATATATATATATATTCTGTATATATAAACAGTACCTGTATATAATTTGTTTTATCTATATTATAAATATTTGTAATAACAAATTCATATCATTGATCACCAATATCTGTGAATAATATAATAAATAATGAAAACAATTTTGTAATTTATACTAATAATAATAATGAGAGCTATAAAACAAATATACATTACATTTGTATTTTTAAGTAAATATATAAATTATATATATTTATATCTATTTTTCAATATTATTATCATTTATCAATATTTAACTCCTAATCATACAAATGACAATCCTATTTAATTATAAAAATAATTTATTATCATATTATACAGTATATAAAATATATTTGTATAGTAATATTTCAATATTTAACAACGATTCATTATACAATAATATCTATAATATGTAATGTTTAATTTATGAATATTAATAATTGCTTTAAAGCTTTTGATGTACATTATCTTTAGTAATCTAAATTTCAGTTAAATAACAATAGATAACTTGATTATAATTATTATTTAAACTGGCAGGTACATTTTTTATAGAAATTTAATTTAATGATCAAAATGTTATCATTTAGTTATATTCAATGAAGTTGTACTGTATGTATATTCATTGAATATTCAATAAAAATAAAAATGTTATTATATTTATAATTAAATATAAATGTGATAAATTGTCATTAAATTGCATAACAATAATAGTTGTCTATATTTATAAGTCTATGTATTAAATATTGTATATAATAATCTGACTAAATGTGCCAATATTGTAATTTACTTAATAATAATAATATTTAAAAATTAACAATGTCAATTTTTAAAACAATGTATATATAATTTAACATATATTGAAATCTATAATTATGATTAAATTAAAAATGATATATTTAAACAATTTTTTAAATTTTAATGTGGTATAAATCTACTTGTTGTTAATATTTGTATAATTTAAAAATACTATTTGATTATTTATAAAAAAAAATGTTAATAAACAAAATAATTTTGTTAAATTCATAATATAATAGAGTAAACATTAAATTATTTTATAGATGTTTAAATAAAATTATAAGTATACTAAAAATACTATATAAATATATGTACAGATATTGTAGATTATATTAATTAACTTTATATTTGTATTATACGATCATAGGTGTAATATGTGAAGTGACATTTAATTTTTTTTAATTGTCAATAACTTTTATATTTGATAAAAAAATACTAATAACATAATAACAATAAAACTATATCATATCAAACCTGTCATAAGTATTTGACAATTTAATAATCCATTTCCTTTATAAATATTATATATATATAACAATAAAATGATAGCATAAAATGTATCTTTAGTTTTTTTTAAAATAATAATAATATAAATTTTTATTGTCATTGCCACGCAAAAAAATAAAAATATTTATTATATTTTATTATATAAACTATTTATTACAATTATATTATAAATTTTTTTATGATTGACAAAAAAATATGTTATGTTTATATAATAGTTGTCTAATAAATGAATTAATGAATGAATGAATATATTTCATTAAAATTAACTGAATTTATTAAGAAAAATATTTAGCGATAAATATGAGCCGATTTCCAATTACAACAGCAAAAAACACTGATAATAACTGAATAACAGTTGTATTCATCATATTTACAATAATTTTCAATATATTTAACTAATATTGTAGTCTATGTGACATTTCTCGGGCAACGTTATCTCATAGGCCTAACAAACCACTTAATTATTATTATATTTTATAGAGAAAACACAATATTATCACTAAATTTTTTTATCATCAAATTTAACACAACTTTTCTCTGGTCTTAAGCAATCAACAACACATCAGACAATTACTTGCAGTTTATATAATATTAAAACAAAATATATTAATTGTCTAAATGTGTGTTTCTGAATAAATAAGTTTATTATTCAATTGTTATTTATTTATTTAACACTTTTAATATAAATAGAATTTTTATATAAATCTTCATTTCATATATATTTATATATATATATATATATATATATATTGAAAAAGAAAAAATTGAAAAAAATGTTTAAAACTAAGAAAATCGACGAATTTGGCGGAAAAACAGGAAATGAAGAGCAAAGCGAAGACGTTGTGGTCACCGAAGAGAAAATTATTGGCGAAGACGGCATTGAGAGGACTATTATAAAGAAAACGACGACAAGACGTACAATTCAGAAGCAGAATGTGACTCAAGGGGCCAGAATGACAACCGTCAAGAAGACAATCACATCCAGTGATGGCAAGACATCGACTATTGTCGATAATTTTGATGACTTAAAACTGGATTCAGACCACAAGATAGCCATTGAAAACCGTAAGTCACGGTCCGGTTCTGCGTCGTCTTCTTCATCATCTGACGATGGATTCACTGAAAAGTTTAAGTCATTCTTTAAGGGAAAATCAAAAGACAAGCACAAGAAGAGTAGTGGCGACGACAACAGCAACAGTCAGCCAACAGTTGCCATCAAATCGTCGACCAGTGAACTGCATTCGGAGCCCACAGACGATGACAAAGAGTTTGCCGAAGACTGTCTCAAATGGCACAATCATTATCGGGAAAAACATGGCGTCAAACCATTGAAACTGTCGAAAAAAGTCAGTCCTAATAGTGTTTTAGTTATCTTATTGATAATGAATTGTTTTATTAAATAATATACTGTATTTTTTTTGGAAACAGCTCATGGATTATGCACAGGAGTGGGCCAACCATATCGCTGCCAACGACACAATGGAGCACAGACCTCATAATACTTATGGCGAAAATATATTCATGAAATGGTCGTCTAATCCTAACTTCAAAATTGCCGGTAAGTTATTATTGTATCTAAAAAAAACTAAATGATTGATAAATTAATTTATTATTTTTTAAATATAAGTGATATTCAATATATTTTTTCCATAAAAATCTATAATTATAACTATATATATATGATTATAGGCCGCGACCCAGTTGATAATTGGTATGCCGAGATCAAGGACCATACGTTTGGAAAAGAGCCTAGCTCATTGAAATCAGGTATGGCATATCGTTAACCATACCTTACCCATTATACACAAAGTTATTTATAGATGTTTTCATAAACTTTAGATATTTACACACAAACAATACATAAACCAATGCCTATTATGATAAGCAAAGTCGCATAAATGTCAATTAGTTTTTCATTTTTATTAATACATTATGTGATGTGTGACTCTTGATGTGTGATATATTAAATAATGTGTAAATACTGTATGAGTTTTTATCGCAACACATAAAAAATCAATGTTTAATTAATTAGATAAATGTTTGAATTAGATATTTAGTTTTATTTTCAGTCTCGCTTTAATAATTTTATTTGTGTGTTTAAATTACTAGTATATTAATTAAAACATTATATCAATAGATAACTTTTAAAAATAATTTATATATTATTTTTTAATATAATATATTTTTTAGGTCACTTTACACAAGTAGTTTGGAAAGAGAGCGAAGAGTTAGGTGTGGCTAAAGCCCGCACCCGAACGGGAAAGATCTTTGTTGTGGCCAACTATAACCCGGCGGGCAATATGTTGGGCGAGTTTGCGGCCAATGTTCCCGCACCAGTCAAATAGATTTCTACAATTTTTTTTAATTAGTTAATTATTAGTTAATTATTAATAATTCCAGTCATTTTTAGTAATAAATGAATTTTTAAAAATCAAATCAATGTTTACTAAATACATATCAAAAAATTTTTGTAATTATTTGATTTATTAGTATTATTATTATTCTGTTATTTATCAATGGATTAATGATATATTATTTGATATAATGTTATATTTTGATTGTTATTACTATTATTTTATTTAAAAATAAAAGTATTAAATTTTAATAATTTTTGTTAATATAATTTTATGTTAGTGTTGATAAGTTTTTATAATCTCAAAAAACAATAAATTATTTGTATTATTATTATTATAAAAAGTCCAATACAAAATGTTATATTTTTAGATATTTAAATATAAACATAATGTACAGTAAATGTTTGTATAGTTTATAAAATTTTCATTGACAGTATGATAACCCATACTATTGATTTTCATGTGATTATACTGTATATGATATACCACTGAAAATATGTACAATATATTGAATGTCATTGAATTGTCAAATCAATATTCAAAATAAAGTATTCACAAACTTTATGGGGAAGTGAATGTTGGTTTGAAATATAATATTCAGAATATTCTTAAGTTCATTATATTCTCAATAGGAAAACATATGAAATAATCAATATAATAGTTAGTATAATGCCATTGCCCTTAACCTCAAAGTTATTTCATAGTATTATTATTATTAATAATAATAATATTAATCTTATTCCGAGTTGTCTCAATACATCTATTATTTAAATTTGCATAAATTCGAAGTTATTTATATTTAGACGACTCATTTGCATTTGATTTTGTTAATTGAAAATATTAAGATTAAATAAAAAAATGTACAATAAGTTTGTTTTTATGAAATATTCACTAATATTTGTTCAGATTTTGACACTGTCGACATTGACATCGTTTACACTGTTTTTGAGTCATATTTTTGAGGAAACTCTGGATAAACATAATACTACTGAACCCATAATTATTGATGACTATTATGATGACAATACACTATGGAATTCAAGTAAGTACTAAAAAATGTATTAAATTAATTATAAATTATAATATTTATATTAAAGTAAAATGATTTATAATCTAATATATTGTATATTATAATATAGTAATAATAATAATAATAATACTAAAAAATTAATTATCTGAACTAAAAAAATATTATTTCAATTACTTAATTAATTAATCCTAGAAATTAATGGACTAATAGTATTGGCATTTCTACTAATACTCTACAGTATTATAACATTTGGCATTTATTCAGTAATTGAGGAGAAATTAAATCAAACACTGATATTCTTAATATTGCTTATCATATGGATTGTGATATTTCATGGAGTCGTCAATATATTTGACTTAAGTATTCCCCGGAAACTCCTAATCGTATCCGAAATTATGCTAACAGTGCTCTCAATTATATTCTTATTAATGTTGAAACGATTGGATAATTTAGAAACCGTTAGAGTAAATGAATTGAACAAAAGTGTTAGCACTATCTCAGATAACATACCCTATAATCCAAACTTTATTATTTAAGATATTTTTTTAAATATGATATCATTCAATTTTTAAATTAACCATCATAATTTACTAAATTTACTGCAATAATATAAATTTTAAATAACTAAATAGTTGTAAAAAATTATGTCAATGAAATTATACTAATTATATTTTCAAACTATATTAATCTAAATTTAGAAAATTTGCAATAAAACATGTGCTATAACTTGTAATTTTTTTATTACTATTAGTATTTGTACTAGATCTATTATTCTAAATTAGTCCTTAAAATCTGTACATATTTTATAGTTTAATTTAATTTTATTAATTTTTGTTATTAACGTGTAAATTAAAAATATTTTAAAAATTATATATACATAATACTGTATGAATACATTAAAATTACTTTAAAATCAATTTTCATGCATTTTACATACAATAATCATTAAAATAAATAATTTATAATTATTACAATTAATAATTTAATAAATAAATACAATTAAATACTTAAATACAATATTAATTAGTTTTTCCGGGCCAGTAGTCAACTGTTGCTTCACCAGAACAGGTAGAATAGCACTTGCCTTGTATGACATAATTGGCCGAAACTGAATGCAATTGTGAGACACCATTTGCTGAATCACAGGAACCGTTGGACATAACCATTAGATTCTGGAGAAAAATAGGCGAATCGTCGCACTCACCACCTATTATAGCGCCCATACGTATGAAGTGTTCAGCACCTGTATGTCATCAATAAATGTCCACAAAAAAAACATTTAACTTTGACTGACAAATAGTCCTTACCGTTGCTGTCAAGCAGTGCTGAAAATCCATATGAATTGAGTGGTATATATCGTCCTCTTTTTAATCCATAGACCATTTCATCCCGTTTTCTGACCTTAAATGAGTTGCACTGATGGTACTCCTGTTGGCCCTCAATTGATCGCACAATAGCATCAAAAAATGAATTTTTGTCGCATTCATAGAGACCTTTACCCAAAACACTTTGACTATTGGCGGCACCGGTAGGTTCACCTTTTTTTGGTATATATTAAAAAATATTTTTTTAATTTTAAATTTAACAATAAAATTGATATTAAATAGTAATTATATAAATCAATATATTTAGATAACAAACACATACTCGGCATTTCTCTATAGCGATTCGGTTGACATAAAATCAATTCAAATGCAAATATAGCTAATAATATAATATTTTCAAACATTTTAATATAAATTTATTATAAAATTGTATTAAATAAATATTAATAAAATACATTATTATTATTATTATTATGCTAATAAAAATGTGTTAAATTATATAAATATTTTTTTTAAGCATGTGCAAACATATAATTTATATTATTTTTTATTTTATTTTTTGTATATTATAAAACAATAATTGTAAAAAATTATTTTTAATTAAATATTTATATTATAATTTTTGTTTTATTTGTTATATAAACTAATAAATTATTTATTAGTTAATTTATAATTTATTAGTTAATTTTTATCTAATAGTATTATTACATTAAAATGACAATTAAAAAAAAATAAATAAATATATATATATATATATATAATAATTTTTATATAGAAATAAACCGTATATTTATATACTATAATAATTTATAGATAATTAATTATGTGATTAATAGGTTAGTTATAATAAATAGTAATAAAAATAATGCTATAAATGTATTTTAATTAATAATAGTGCCGCACATATAGGTAAAGCTCAGGGATGTGTCAAATCTCAATAAACAATATAATAATCATATCATATATGATATTCAAGTATTTTTGATTAGTATTTCAATATATAATTGTAGACAAACAACAAAATAGAGATAAAAATAATACTAATTTTCTACAAAATAAATGATTTTAAAAAAAATTGTTTTTTTTTTAAATAAAATTAAATGAAAATTAATTAATTAATTAGTTATTATATAATAACTAATTAATTATAACAACAAAACTATATATAATAATAATTTTTTTTTAAATTGAATTAAATTTCAATACAATTATTGTGTTTTTGTTTTGTGAGTCAATTGTAAATCAATTTATTATTTTCTATTCAATAATCTAATGAATAAAACAAAAGAAGAGTCGAGAAGAAGATAACGACAGACAAAATGACAATCAGTTTTGAAAAAAATCAAAGGATTTCATCAAATGATTCAATAATTACTTCTAAAAGTTCTAATAATACTAATACTCATAACATTCAACTCATTTATAATATTATATTTTTAAAAAAATATTTGTTGACGTAATTTATGTATACATAATGTTTTACTTTACTGTAGAGACAATAGGGACAGCCATTACACACTATATTACAGTACAATAAACTTTTATTACATTAGAAATAAGTATTGATATAATAATACACTTTATATGTTATTAATAGTCAATTGAATTGAATTGTAATAAACATTAAAATTATTATTAAACTTATTATAGACAGTGTTGTTGTTGTTGTTATTATTAATTTTAATTATATATTGTTTTTACCATTCAATAGGCTATTCAACAAAAACAATGCCAACAATTAGTCAATCAATTAATTACAACATTTGATGACAAAATAAAGATTAACAACAATATGTGACCAAAGATTTAATGATAGGATAACGACAACAACAACGGCTCACTACTCAAGATGTTTATTGTTTGTTGGTTTACGATAGTTGTCTCACTCGTTGGTGTTCATCACTCGGAGACCATCGGCGGTGATGTCGAGCGACGTCTATCATCGGTTTCGGACCAAATGAAACATTGGCTCCAATTGGCGGTCAATCATGAGTTGGGTGTCGCACACCTCCAACACATCTACCGTACCGTTAATTCAGTCACACATGACATACAGTTTAATGATATTGTGTCCGATATCACCCAAAAGGTTTGAAATTATAAATGATTTATTAGATGATACTAATGTCTGTCCACCGATTTAGATGACTAAGAAATTAGAGGACTTGTCAGCCGTTTTAGAGGAGACTTCCGAAAGAGTGAAAGAGTTGTTTCAGATTTACTTAAAGGGCGACGAAATAAAGACATTGAGGCCATGTTGTGACCAACGATTACACGCAGTCATGCATTTTGACGGCCACTTTAATACACAGATAACAAAAGCTACGGCCTGTGATTCGGTACCGAACGGTGTGACCGATGGTTCATTTTCGCCGGGAATTAATTTGACGGAACAGTATCGGGCAAATCTGGACATTTGGCCAAATATTAAGTGGCAATACTTCATATCTATTTGGGGTCTACACACGGAATTCCCGGCATATTTACCGTTACCTAATAGTTGTCACACTAATGATGTGTTTAATGATATAAATGATTTCAATAGTTTTGGTAATTAGTTTTTTATTTTATTATCTGTAGGTTTATTTTAATCAACTATTAATAAATAATTTTTATTTTAAAGCAAATAAATTAGTGTATAATGATGTCTACAATGAAGACACGCTTCAAAGACATCGCGATATTTATATGGCAACAGTTTTGCCACAATCCAAGAATATATTGCTGGTTATCGACAGAGGATCTGCTCTGACAGCACACCAATTGGCAATTGCTAAGGCTATCGCCAAATATATACTTAATTCGTTGTCATTAAATGATAAAATAGGACTTATTTCGGTGTCCAGTGATATTCATTATCCTATAAGCGACTCATGTTTGACCAAAAGGCTGGCAAATGCTAACTACGAAACCAAATATCAATTTCAACGATTCATTGATGGACTTCAGCGAACTAATGAAAACACTAATCATGTATTGGGTTTGAAAAATGCATTTGAAATGCTTGCCAACACTTTTGAAGACATCAAAGGTATTTGATAAAGATTTTAGTCAATGTATTAAAATATTAATATTTATTATTTTTATTTCTAATTATTAGATAATGAGAGTCCATCCGAAGCTCTTATTGTTTACATAAGTCGTGGTCTATTGACTGCACTTACAGACGCACGTCTTGTTATGGAAGTGATCGCCAATGAGATAAACAAAGCCTACGATAATAACTATTCATTTGTCATCAATTCCTATGCATTAATCGATGACACGAAGCCTGTTATGTATGAAATGGATTTTCTTCGAGAGATCGCTGAAATGAATTTTCAAAAATTTAATGTTTTATCTCCCGATCCCTTCAAAATTAGGGTAATTTAATAATTAAATTATACCAATAGTATTGATATTAATTAATTTTTTGCATTATTTCCTACTTAAAAAAAGCCGGGAATGATGGTAGCCGTCAACTCTACCGATAACTTGAGTTTTACATTGAGTGGCATTTATTCAGTGCTTACCCGACCCACACATTCATCTGTTTATATATCGCTTCCCTATTGGGATGCTATTAGTAAAGGTTTGTTTTATATTTTTATTTTTTTTAAAACTTATTATTACATTTATGATGATATAATGAACCGTAATATGATTGGTCATGAAATCAATTGATTTTCTGATTAAAATAGATATTTAATTAAGAATTTAAGAATTTATTGATAAACATTTAAAAAATAATTTCTACACAATAGATGTTCACATATCGGTTAGCAAATCAGTCATTCATAGGGGACAACTCATAGGAGTGGTTGGTCTCGACATATCTTTAGCAGATTTAGCCGAAGATATCATACAATATGTGTCATCTGACGACTCGTATGCCTTTCTGATTGAGAAAACACATGGCATTGCTATACATCACCCACTATTTAGTCCACCCAATCGGCAAACACACGATCAGATAATTCATACAAGTATTGAACATTTTGAACAAATTCCTGGATTTGATGTCATAAAAAAGTCAATGTTAGCTAACAATGAGGGCATTGAAACAATTAAAGTCAACTTCAATAACAAAACTCATATAACATATCAGTGGAGACGTGTATTATCGTCGCCTTATATAGTAGTGATCGCGTCGTTCAAAACACACGATAGAAAACACAGTATAACTGCTCCGTTGGCCAAAGATATTCATTTTACTTATCATCGATTAGATCTCAATGCAAATCCATCCATACTATGCCGTCATTTCAAACAATTAGCAACTATTGGTATGGTTTTTGTTTTTAAGCACATTTTAGTTTAACATAATTTTTTTTAAAATTTTATTTTAATTATCAATAGAAACTGCGACTCTATTTATACCTTCAAAAGCATTTTTATCTCCATTTGCTAACGATATGCAAGAAGAAACCACTCATGTTGTTCAAAGATATATGGCTTATCTCAATGATAATACTAAACTAATAGCTAATCCTGGATTTAAAGTAATTGTTTTTTATAATTAATTTTATAAAGTATTTTCATTTAATGATTTGATTTTTCGTTTGTTTTTAAAGAGCACTATTAGAGGTGAAGTTCATGTCATCACTGGTGTCATACCTTTATGGAAAACACTACTAGAATCGAGTGAAATGTCAAAGTTTATTGTGAGAAAGTACATAACGACACCAAATGGTGTATTCTTGTTATATCCCGGAGCTCTCATTGATAAATCATTTGATCCAACACGAAGAGAGTGGTACACTAAAGCGGTTCTTAATCCGGGAAAAGTAGTATTTACGGCCCCATATCTCGATGTTGGTGGTGCCGGATATATAGTTACTATAAGTCATGTGATAGAGGGCTACAAATCTGATACTAATACTAACACAAGGAATACTGTGGCCGTAATCGCAATGGACTTTACTTTAGGCTATTTTCATAGTTTTCTTCAAACAAATTTGGGCTCATTTTGTCGCTCACAACAAGTTAGATGTTTTATAATGGATGACAAGGGCTATCTAATAGCTCATCCATCACTTGTTGAGCCCATCCAATTGGCACCTATTGAACAACAACACATTACTCATAAGGAACCCTTAGTGGCCAATGATTTACTTCATAATAAGTTATTCGTTAAGAAGACTGTTTGCAATAGTTTTGCTGACAGAACTATTCAACGATTTTATAATGTATTAATTGATTTCTAGTTTAAAGTTTAGTTTAAATTAACTATTTTTTCTGTTAAATCTAATTTAGTTTAATACGAGCTTAACGGGTGTCCTAACAAACTCAATACATGATTGCGGCAAATATTTGATAGCATCGGTCAGCGATTCCAATATATTCATTGGTATAGTGAACCACACGTGTGATTCAATGGCAGCATTCTGTCCCTGTTCTATGGTTTGAATATTAATTTTCCATAAAATAATAGGTTTTACTTATAATATTTTTATCTCTTCATATAGACTGATCGATTATGTCTCAATTGTCACCGTATGGAACAAACTGATTGTGAGTGTCCGTGCGAATGTCCATTAGAATTGAATTTATGTACCGGACAATTGTTTGACGAAGAGGACCGAAATCCCAGTTGTCCACCAATTACCGATTCTGTAAGACCAGTGCCAGTGATGAAGCATACGTTGGAATCGATTAAGAAATGTTTTGATATCAGTTGCTATGAAAAGAAATCAGAAAAGTAAGATTTTAAGTCAAAATTATTGTTTTAATTATAATTAATATATAATTTTTTGTTCTTTTAGTGAATGTCAGGGTCTTATGGGTTGCGAATGGTGTCAATTGGATCGTAACGGAGAGACACCGTTAAAGAATCCCTATTGTAATAATCAGAATCGTTGTTTTGGTGGCATTCTTGGTGCCAAAACTCCATATCCGGATGAGATTTCTGATATGATGTTAGCACACGACGATTACATGCCTATGGGTAGTGCACCCGTCGGTCCTGTTGCTGGTGGTATCATGATTTGCTTTGTGGTGTTAGCTCTATCCGTATATTGTTATCGCTATCACTCCACACGTCACGGCCCACATTATATAACATCTATCACCGATAATGGTGTCAATCCTTTACATTTAGATAATGATTTTGACGATAACGATCCTCAAGATGACATCGCACCTGCCATTGTGCCAAACAATGTTGTAGTTTTGGCCAGTTTTGAAAACGCCGCTCAAGTGTCACCGTATCGCATAAACGCTGGCTATCGTAGACCAGGCGGCGACTCGGATCACGGCTATTCAACAATGACACCCCATGAAGACTCTGAGTTGGCCGGACCCACATATAACGAACCGTTACTCGTTGGCAGAGATAGGACTCGACTCTTAAATACGAGTTCACAGTCAGACGCAACTAACTCATCGTCGAGAACTTCATCGCCATCACTGGTCTGTCAATCAATTGTCAAACCACCGAAACCTATGCCATCAACTATTCTTGAAGTGCCTAATAATGTGTTGGCTCAGGTACAGGTGCACACTGTTGACACCCATTGATAAAATTTATATAAGTTTTTAATTATATCATCTTTAAAAAATCATCTGTAATTTTTTATACATTATTTACACTCAATTTTTTACTATTTTAATATCTTTGATATTAATTTTTAAATATTTTATGTAAATATTAATTTATTTAAATATCTTGTATTTAAATAGCATTTTCACAAATATTTTTTTTTAATTATATAATTTATTGTTTTCAAAATCATTTTTATAATTTATTATATTTATCATCGATTTAATGCCAAATTACTACTATTTGCCAATTATTGTATAAATTTGATTTTTAAATCAAAACACGTAAATTAATTATAATTTTCGTAGAAAAATTAGTCTTAAAATGATTAAAATCAAACAAATGATGCAATTATTTGAATGCAAACTTAATTTAAATGCCAAATATGTTTATTTAATCAATTTTGTATATTTACTTAATTTAATGTTATAAATGATTAAAAAAATAAAATATTTGATTAAAGTGAAGTTTGTTATTATTATTAGTATATTTTAGATAATTTAATAAATAAAATAGAATTGATTTCTAGACACAAAAAAAAATATTATTACAATATTATTATGTATACACTGTTTTGTTATTATCATATAAATTGTTAACTCAATTATCTTATTTAAAAATTTAAAAAAAAAATATTTATATACTATATATTTATTGATGATTTTAAGTTGGATAATATTTGATAAATTGTTGTATTTATCTGTCAATTATAGTGATAAAAAGACAAGACACTAATTTAATAACATTTTACTTTAATTTTAAAATACATTAATTACAACTATTTATTTTAGCAATATAATTATTGTTGTTTTTATTTGTATATAGATAATCAAGATAAAATTTTTAACAAATTATCAATTTATTATTTATTGATCATAAAATGTCACAAAATGTTATCAGATTTATTCATAATTTTAATCACATAAAAACAATATACAGTAATAGCATTAATTAGAAATTCAATATTACTAAATAGATTAATCATATAATAACTATTTATTTTAAAAAAACTAATTTAATATATTTTTTAGTAGAAAAAATGTTATTAATAAAATCAATTTAAAAATATTAGTTTTAGATATTTACAGTTCTAAGTTAATAATAAAACTATTTAATTATTTTTATTTGTTTATAATAGAAAATAAGTGTTAAATTAAAAAAAAAAAGTTTTACTTTTAAATATATTGTGTATTTATTACTGAATATAAATACTTGTTTTTAAATAGCAAACATTAAGTTTTAGATTTTATCCAATCAATCATAATTTTCATAACAAAATTAAGACATTTTTGACAAAATTTTCAGTAATCAAAATGATTGGATAATGATTTTTTTGTATGTATATAATATATACAGTATACTACACTTTTATAGATTAAAAACATTACATTAAAAAAAAAGTATATAGCATTTGCGGCAATAAAATAATAAGTCTATCAATTAAGTCAATCATTGGTTTGTATAAACAAAAAAAACTAAAAATTCGATAAAATATACTTTTAAAATATATTTTTTTTGTGAAAAACCGCAACAAAAACTTATATATAATAAAAAAAAGTTTTCGGGTATATCTGTCTATCCCTATAAGTCAATCTCTCGTTTTGTTTTTTGTTATATGTTTGGGACCACAGATTTAATGATAAGTTTTTTGTCATATAATATAAATATGTGTATATAAAGTGTATATATATACAGTGTTTTGTGTCCTAAATCTGATTTGAGTTTTTCGCATTGCATTCAATATAACTGTGCTCTGAGAGGACGGTTGAGTCAAAGGCAAGTTATGTCAATTTATTTTATCAATAGATACATGTTTTAAAAAGTTTTTTTAAAAAAAATATTGCCAATGATTACTATCTTTATTTGTGGTAACAATATTTGAATAAATAATATTTATACTAAACATATATTTATATACATTTAGATTATTTTAAATAAGTAAACGACAAGCTATTTAAGCATTTTGTAACTTATAGTGTTGACCATTCATGTCATGCACACCAGGATTATTGATTATCGCCTATAATTTAAATACAAATTATGACCATAAACTTGATGTATTGAGATATAGTTTGTGATACCATTTATGAGACAAATGTGTGTATGTCTTAAATCACATTACAAATGCAACACTTCCACAATATTATATATTTTATGAGTTTAAGTCCAAAGAGAGAGAGAGAGAGAGAGAGAGAGAGAGAGAGAGAGAGAGAGAGAGAGAGAGAGAGAGAGAGAGAGAGAGAGAGACTATACGATAGAGAACCAGAATTTTTATGAGTATTTTTTTAAATGTTATCAAAAATCATTTGAATTTTTATTTTTATTTTCAATGGTAATAAACAGAAAACTTTTTTTTTCTGAATTTGTTTTTTACTTCTTGTTGTGGACTGAATTGTCGGCGATTGATATCTATTAGCAGGAAATTCATGACATGAGAAAAGTACAATCTTTTTGCAAATGCATTACCTTTTTGCTAACCATTGCTTACAGTATGTCTGTCTGTATACCTCTCACACCTGTCCTCTCATAGGATTTTATATAATTTAAAACTTATAGTATATACAGGTATGTATTATATATACTGTATACAAAAATATATAAATATAATTTTCTCCAATAATTATTACTATCTGAAGTTAATTATTGTCAGTGTCTAATGAATTACAAATTTTGTGTTCAACAAAATTGATTATCCAAAGAGATAATATGTGTTATAATATTAATAATAAAAAGATTTGTTAATTATAGTTTCAATATATCAGACAACAGTCACCAAATGTTTTTTCCCAATTTATTGTATTTAAATTGGTTTTTTTTTAAATACAAAACATTATATAAATTAGTTAATGAAAAAATATAAGTGATATAAGAAAATTGTAATATTACTATAGTTTAATTTTTTATTATAATAGAGTTAAACAGTTAAATCAAGTTTAAATTTACTGATAACAACAAATTTCTAAATAACTATATATTATTTGGCGACAAACATATTATAAATACAATATAAAACATTTAGTTAGATTTTTTTCGGTATAAAAAAGGTATTCTTAACAAATGTCACAACATATCTAATAAAAAAATATTGAAAACTATTTTCATAGTTATCGCAAAATATATCTAATATTTGTTTGCATAAGAGACTTACTTAAACAAACTTTTATTATTATTATTATCTCAACTATATTGTGATACAAATCGCGTCGGCAATTGTCGTCATTCAAAATAAATACTGAAAATGTTATATTTGTCGATAATTTTATAAGTAATTTGACTTTTCAATAAAAAAAACTATACAATAATAAATGTCATAACATTGTGTCCCCAAATATGTCTTTTATATTTTTTTGCGAAATTAAAAGTTGATAATTTTTTTTAGTAATATATTCATTGATATGCAAACTATTTCAATGATAATATATATATATAGTATTAAAATCTAGTTTTTATAAATTCAATTTTAACTACTAATATTTTAATTTTATTTCTAATAGTATAAATTTCTTTTGAATATTTTTAGTTTTTATTTTTTTTTATTGAAAATTTCGATATTATTTAGTGATTATTTGCTTAAATACTTTTGCATATATAATGAGCCGATAAAATATTTCATTAAAATTCAATGACTATCTCTCGCTCTTTCAAACAAAATTTATATTTATGTTTTTCATGTGATAATTAAATTACCATAAAGTAATTCAAATAAAAATTTAAATGTTACATCATTTCTAGTAGATATCCACTACTGTATTAATATATTAAATAAAAATAATAAAATTAAGTATTTAAATGAAAAGTACTAAATGTATTAAAATTAATAGTTTTATGTTTATCTAAATATCGTTTACTGTATTTAATAAAATTATTCAATAATCAAATAATATATTACTGAACCATTTGGTAGCAAAATTTAAAAGCATATAATTTAAAATCATACAATATTTACTATACTTTACATTTAGTTTAACTCTCTCTCTCTCTCTCTCTCTCTCTCTATCTCTCTCTCTCTCTCTCTCTCTCATTCACTCTGTTTTTTATATCATATATCAATAAAAATAAGATATTTTATGTTTTAGTTCAATGCAAATCAATATATAAAATAACATTTGGATAGAAAAACATATCTTAAATCTTATTTTCCTGACTTTGTTTTTTTTTATTATTTTAGGGAAAAAACTATTTTAAATAAAACTTTTTTATATGAAATAATAACAAAAATATAAGTATATATACAGTATATATATAAACTATAGCAATGAGCCAGAGAAAGAAATTATTACATTTAATACTATACACGCTTTAATCAATAAAGTGTAACGAAATTTCCTAAATAATAAGCAAGGATATTTTATTTTTATGTATGTATTTATTTAATATATAAATTTATATTATAACTTAAATATAATTTATATATTTATATATATATATACTGTTTATACAGGACATACATAAAAAATAATATTTGGCTTCAATCCAGAAAAAATGTTGGTTTTTAATCAATGCTTATATTTGTTACAATCATTGCTGATAATAATGAGTTTTTACCTGTAATTTTCTATACTATAATAATAATAATAATGTTTTTTTAATATAAAATGTATAAAATGTTTATATTATTATTATTGTTAAAGTTGCGGTACACTTATCATTTGAGATTCACCTCATAATAAGTTTTTTTAGTGATAACAACAACATTAGCAAAGCATTGTCTGTGCAAAACAAAAAACATTTTTTGCTTTATATAAATGCAATTTTATTTACTGTATAAGTAGTAGTTTTAATGATATCAGTGATTGTGTGTATATATATTAATTTTCATTGTATTTTACAATACATTTTGTTAATTTGCGAAAAAAATATATATATCTACTGTATATTTCTAATTACATAGTGTTAGATTTGAAATAGTTATTTTCATTTATGATAATTAATAAAAATATTGTTATGAGAAAATTATTGTTTTACATATACACTTAACATATACAGTATATAATTTATAAATTATTTTAAAAATATTATATAAGTTAAATATCTATGTGTGTTTGTTTGGGATTGTGATTAAAATAATAATAATAATAAAAACAACAACAAAAATCATTATATATAAGCAACGATTCATTTGAATGATAGTTAATTTGGCGCATAAATACATTACACTGTTTTTTTTGAAAGACAAAATTAAAAACCAAAACATAAGCCACAAAATGAGTATTTGGTTTGCTATTTGAGACCACAACCAACTATCCCACATCACATCCAACCATCCCATTAAGCATCACATTGTATGTTTGGGGTGTTGTGTGTTGTGTCTGTCTATTTGGTAAATAATACTAATAATAATCATCATTTGGTTAAAGGGAGAGAAAGAGAGACAAAAAAGTTTATATTTTAAGCAAACAGAAAGTAAGTGTCTGTTCTGTATATAATATTGTCAATGAATGCTGTAATATATGAGAAAAACGTCTCATATGTTTGTAATTAAAGCGTTAAATCACTTAATTTTTGGACTCTTCAGGCCGTAAAAAATGTGGCAAATCTTGAGCTCAGAGAGAGAGAGAGAGAGAGAGAGAGAGAGAGAGAGAGAGAAAGAGAGAGAGAGAGAGAGAGAGAGTTCTATTTAGTCGTCGTTAGCCATACACTCCGTTTTGTTGTATTTTTTCTTAAGGAATAGTATCTTATTTGTGTGATATATATATACAGTACAGTATAGCTTTAATATCACAATTCATTAAGAAAATATAAATATAAAGACATTGCATTTATAGCCTAAAAAGTTGAATAGTTTAAGCATTGTGTTGCAAAACATATATACATTCAATATACTGTACAATAATTTTGTTTATATGTAATTTTAAACATTTTGTTGTCATAACATTAATAATTTAAAAATTTCTGTCATATATATATATATACATATACATATGTATATATATAAAGTAAATTTATATTTTAAACAAATTTAAGCATATATGTTGTATATTTACAGTAATAATATTTGCAAATTGTAATTTTTGTTTCATCTAAAAAATATACTGTATTATAGGTATTATTTTTGTAGTTTATATATTTGTTAAGATAACATTTTTGTCACGCGATTTGTATATTGTTATATACTTTAACATTCAAGTATAGATATACAGTGTATTATAAATATACAGTATGTTGTTATTTTAGATATATATTTATATATAAAAAAATGTTGAATTTAGATAAAATAAATTTCAAATATGTCTTTTATTTTGTAAAACAGCACAAATTATTGTTATCTAAATAGTAGTCTCGTTTGATAACAAACCCCTTTAAACTAACCTTTTTATAGCCAATGTTAAAGATAAATGTTTGAGAGAAAGAGAGAGAGAGAGAGAGAGAGAGAGAGAGAGAGAGAGAGAGAGAGAGATTTGTATATAAAAAGTTTTATCATTGACTTCAATAAAATGTTTTTAATGTTTATTTCAAAATATATTAATATTTCGAAATACTATTATTGATAGACAAATAAATCTTGAAAATTATTTGTAAATATTCTCTATATATTATTAAATTTGATAAATACAGTAAAAATATTAAAACTTTAGATTTTGATTTGGCTAATTTAAACTATTAAATATTTATTTATACTATTTATATTATAAATTATATATATATACTAAACTTTTAAAAATAATAATTGTAATATTTTTACCCTGTATCTATACAACAATTTTTTTATCATATTATAATAAGTTCATGTTTTTCAATATAAAACACATTTATCAATACTACAGAAAATATGTTTACATAAACAAAAGTAAAAGTGTATATAAACTTAAATAGCAATAGAAATAAAGCTATCAATATTATATTGTAAATATACTGTACACCATATAAAAATTATATATATATATATATATATTCATATTATACTGTATTATAAATTTTATTTTACTATGAGATAAAAAAATAACTTTCATAAAACTTGTATTCAATATACATGTATATATATATATCGCAGTCACAAAAAAAATTGTGGGGAAATAATAAACAAAATTAGAAAATAAACGTTTGTTTTGTGGCAAATATGAGAGCTGTCATTGAAATTATGATTAATGTTTAGACTAAACAACAGGAAAGTCTCTCGCATTTAATATGATATATATTAATGAATTTTTTCTCTAACTTTCCCTAATTGAATGTACATATTATTAAAAGATCTTTTTAAAACACTTCAACTTTTTTTTTATATATATTATTAATAATTAATTATTCATTTAAGCATTTGCTTAGGACTTCTGTTTTTCTTAATATACAGAAATCACTTTTCTTGTTGTTGTTGTGGTTGTTGTTGTCGTGTTTGTCATATCAATGTATTGGTGTATATATAATATATCAGTACTGATGAGGAGTGCGCGCAACCCGTACTCAAAAATAAAACAAAACCAATAGATATATACTGTATATATATTTAAAAAAATTATATTTATTTCAAAAGATATGAGTGAAAGAAAAGTCGTGGTGAGAGAGGGAGACAACTATACAACTCCTCTGATGCCATAACTTTTATGTCATTTAAGTGTATCGATAATAGCCTTAAGTGATGTCACCCCGAAACAGCTTTACGGGCAATGAATAAAATAAGTTAAAACCAACTTTTGCTACTTAAGACTTGAGAGACACAACACTTGAAGTTAAAAAAGAGGTTTTGAATATCTAATGATAGCTTAAGAGGGAGAGAGAGAGAGAGAGAGAGAGAGAGAGAGAGAGAGAGAGAGAGAGAGAGGTGTATGTGTTGTTTTGTAAGTGATACCAGTGCTATATATCTATCTATTTATACTGCTATATACATACATACGTATGTGAGTGGTATTTCAGTGCTATCGGTGCCAATTGACTTGAAAAACGCCAGTTACTCACTCATTCACACATGTGTTATCTAATTGCCTGTCCTATAGATTATTATTATTATTATTATTGTTTGATATTTTAGCGCAAACGTGAATCACAACACATATTGAATAGTATAGTCAAATACATAACATTACAGTACAATACAAAAACAAATATGTGTCTTAATTTTTGAGTCTCCCAAAAGTATTATATTTATTTATGTGTAGAAATTTTTTATGTATATATTTATTTTTTTTGTACTCAAAAAAAAATATTTTGCTGTTTAATGTAATATTAGCGATATATTTGCGAAAAGTTATGTTTCACACCGATTAATATATTGTAAATGTATAGTACAGTTGTTATTATGTATGTATATTTTAAAATCAAATAATTATCTGTGAAAACAAATTGAGATATTTTTTTCGCGAAAATAAGAAAAAAATTGTTTTTCTACTCAAAACTATTTCATAATAGTTATGTAATTAGTTGTCAATTTATATTTTGTGAACATTTATTTAAATTTATTCACATGTGATTTTTTGTTGTTGTTGTTAAATGAAAATATTATTTTATTTTATACAGAATCGTCGAAAAGTTTTTTAAAAAAAGAGTTTAAAATAATATATAAATTTTGTGCAAAATTCAATTGACAAACTTTTTAATTTGATTAATGAATTTAAAACAAAATCAAATTGTTTTAATGGACAAACCATGTTAAAACATGTGAGAAAATTTTTAATTATATATTTATTAATATATTGATAATCATGTGTTAAAGGTGTTAAAATTATTATTATTTTAAAATAATTGACTGAAAAAAAAGTTATTGATAGTATTGTAAATCAGAAAAATATATGAAGTAGTAGTAGTAGTAGTAGTTTTAGTACTAGTAGTGTATATTATACACTGTATAATAATAATAATATTTTAGAATTACTAATAGTAGTATTGCTATCTATTATATGATTATTCTTGAAGGTAAACAATAATTTAAGTGATAATATTATACAAAAATATTTTACGATATTATTTCCGATTGAATTATAATTTATAAATTATAGCATAAAAAGCTTATCATTAATTCATTGATTGTAAATAAAATGAGATACCATTTCCTTTGTATATTTTTTTAACTAATATAATATTAATAAATAAATGAAAATGTCATAATCTAAAACAGTTAAATGAAATTAACATAAATTGTATAAAAAAAATTTAACAGTCATTTATAGTTTCATTGAGTTTTTAGTTATACTAGTAATACAAATACTAAGATATGCAGTAAATTCCTTAAATATCATTACCAATGAACTACTTATTTATTAAAAATAATACAATAATAATGATACAAATAATTATAATTACATAATTATTTATTATTTATATATTATTATTATAATACCGGTAATACATTATTTTGACATAATTTGATCGATTCATTGATTGAAACTTTCAATACATACTATAGTTTCTCTCTATCTCTCTAAACATAGTCAGATAGCTATCATCACCACATGAAATGGTAATGTATTGGACATCAAGTGATCAAATGTCATGCCGTCGTCATCAATGGTGACCGAAATGCAAAACCAATATGACATCAATTCAACACCAGTTGATAGCAAAACAACAAACAATGATCAGTCAGACGGTGATTACGGCGATGACAGCCAACCGCTGATAATAAAATGCGGTGGTTGTGGTGACACCATCGCCGACCGCTACTACCTGTTGACTGCAGACAGACAGTGGCACTGTCGGTGTCTCAAGTGTTGCCAATGTGGCCAACAATTAGAGTATCAGATGACGTGCTTCTCAAGAAACGGACTGATCTATTGTAAGCAAGACTATTATAGACTCTTTTGGTGGCAAAAGTGTGTCCGCTGTCTGCAAGTTATACAACCAAAACAACTGGTAATGAGGATCAGTGTCGACGACGACGACAACAACAACAACAGTGACCACAACAGTAATAGTCACTACTATCACGTCCAGTGTTTTACTTGTGTGGCATGTGATCAACAACTGAAAAAAGGCGACCACTTTGGTCGTCATAATACAGATATTTATTGTCATTTGCATTATAAACAAGTCAATGATAATGAGTGCCATAATTATCACCACAATTTGGTTAATGCCAGTCATGAACTACAGCAACAACAACATCAACGACAGTGCTTCACAAACGGTGGCACCGATTCTGATGATATCTGTGATAAGGCATCAGTCAAATCAATGAGCGATTCATATCATGAAAAGCAATCAAAACATCACCGAAAAAGGAAAACAAAGTTAAGCCAAAAGTTCATCGATAAGTGTAAGTCTCTCTCTCTCTCTCTCTCTCTCTCTCTCTCTCTTTCTTTCTTTCTTTCTTTCTCACTCACCCATCGCTTGCCTCAATATAATGATAACAAGACTTTTTTAAAAATACAAAAAAAAACTTTTCACATACTTTTATTATATATAACCACAAATAACAAACATAAATATATATATATATATAATAAAAGAAACAAAAATTGTGTGAGAATTTGATACAATACACACAAATTTATTGCATTCATTATAATGACATTTTCAAGTGTAATATAATAAAATGCAATAAACACACATTGATTTTTATTTGCGAGTGTGTGTGAAATAAAAATCTATAATCCCTTTAATGCCTTTTTATGAAATGTCTTAATTTGGAAACAAAAATATTATTATTATTTTTTGCGGACAATAGAAGTCCTCTTTTCCATAAAATAATTGTTTAGTTGACATAATATTTGCATAAATAAATATATGACAAATAGTGTTCATAACATTTGAACCTGTTATGTATATAATACAAAATGAACAGTTATATTGTTTGATAAAAAGATGCCGGTGCTTATACATTGTATGTATTGTGCCGCTATAATAATTGCAAATAATTTGTGCACATATTTATATAGAGACATAAATATATATATAAGCCGATTATTAATGGCATATGTTGTGATATGTGATACCGATGCCAATTGGCCATTCATATTGCATATTCAATAATAGTATGAACACCAGCACTAGTAGTTCTAGTAGTAATAGTAGTTAGCATTATTGGAGCACAGGTTTATTCTACCGGCGCTATGCATATAATCTTTGGCACAAAAATAAATTTTGTCAAAAAGTTTTTTTTTGATCTCTTTGTAAACTGAAGAGTGAATGTAGAGAATGGTTACGGAAAGAGAGAGAGAAAGAGAGAGATGAGATAATCCTCTTTGAAGTGCTTGTGAATCGGCTTTTCAATTGCAAACACTTTACTCTTAAACAGTCACAAGTTATGACTCGTGTGTACATACAGTACAATATAGTCTACTACTGTATATCTGTATAAATGATAACTTTATACTCTATGTACTAGTGGTATATGTCCGCCTATTTGCAATGCCTTTCCTCTTTTTCCAATATAATAGACAATAATAGTTAGAGACATGACTACAGTATAGTGTATGCATGTCTTTCCTATTGCTCTCTCTCTCTCTCTCTCTCTCTCTCTCTCTCTCTCTCTCTCTCTCTCTGAGAGCATCTTATTGTGTAATATGAAACATAGTCTTTAATGTGATCCGCTTTTACATAGAAAATGCTATAAAGCTCTGAACATCAGTAGATATACATATAAAATATAATGAAAGTGAGATGTCGTCCAAATAATGTTGATTTCAATGATCATTGCATACCTAATCCCTATATAATTAGGAATATCTGCCAATAATTCCATCATTGAATCCTATATTCATTGAGTAACAACAGTTGTAGCAGTAATATCAACGGCACAGTTAGGTTATGTAACCTATTTGTCGGACACAATAGAGAGGATGCTCTCACATATCGACAACTATAATGATATTTCACTGGGTATGGCATCGCCCGCATCCCTGATTCCGGAGCTCACCGATGATAACAATTGTTATAAATAAATATACTGTAGTTAACAAATATCTAATATACTGTATAATAATAATAATATCTCTGGAAATTCATTCAAACAATTTAAATATAAATTTAATGCCAACTGAAAAAACGTTTTGATTGATTTTATTTCTAAGAGTACAATAAATTTCCTCTATTAATAAAAAACAAATTCATATTTAATGCAAATCAATAGAAATATATATATATAAGCTTTCACTCATACCCATCACACATATAGTATATAATATTTTATTATTATTGGGTGTGTTTTTGAAGTTTTAAAAATACATATTTTTACATATATTTCAAAATATATATATAAGCTGCCAAAATGTAATATAGCTATAGTATTATTATTATTATATACTGTAGTACTATGTATTTATTATAAATAGTATTGTGTAATTTATAACAACTTTATTCAAATTTAAAAATAAAATTCAAATTCAATTTGAAACCTATCAAAATATGCTTATAAATTATTAGATAAGCTATATAAATATATTTAGCTATAGTTTATACAATATATATTTGTTAATCTAGTAAATAGTGTTATCAAAATTTCGTACAAATATTTACAATATATTCAATGAGAATATGATTGACAAATATATTTTGCTATTCAAGTAACTGTTCATCAAAATAAAAAAGCTGTTATCTATTTATTATATACTTTATAATTTTAAATTTTAGCATAATTTTATAATATTTTATTATTTAAAAGAACCCCAAGTTTACACACTAGCTATTGATAAAAATAAATAATAATAATTGATATGAGAGTCAATTTGTTAAATACACAAAATTTTGATGACACACATTACAAATAAAATTCACATTAAACTCATATATGAATATCAATAGCAATTTTGAATAATACACAATAGTATAGTGTTTAATGTATACCTTATTAAACAAAATATCAAAAATCAAAATAAATTTTCCAAACTAATGGACATATTGTTGTTAATTGAAAAGTAGTCCATCATTTGGATCATTGACTAACTTTTTATTTCTCATTTGTTGTTATCCAAACATAATTATACAATAGATGTATAAAATTTATTATATATACACTATATATATATATATATATATATTCTAGTTTATCATAAAAGTTAAGTATCTAGTGTTACTCTCAATAGGGTTTTTTGTGTCGGATTTACTTTTTAAAAATACAAATTTCGTGGGAAAGTCAGGGCACGTGTATGTGTGTGTAGGACACGGCCCTAAAGGTCCCTATTTTATACACTGTTATATATTAAATATTTATTGTAATATAGCGTCTAATATGAATGGGCAGACTCTTGTCAATAGAAGAAACACATATTTGATGGGATGTCATGTTTCCTAATAAATACAATACCATAGCATACAATAGTATTATTTTTTTTATATATATATTTCAAATGTTATATATTTTGATTTTGTTAGCTATGCTAAAATATACGTTTAGTTTAGATAAATACAACTACTCTCCCACTGAATATACTGTAGTTTGTGGGTGAGTTTTAAAATGAAGTGAAGTGAGTGAGTGATGCCTAGATTGGACACGACCTGATGATATCCCTGAGCAAACTCATAGGACTGATTGTTACACATAAGTGTGTGTATCTATAGATAAATACAGTATATATTGATATTTATGAGTGATGAAAACATTTCACTCATATTTTTAGTTTTTGAATAAAACTTGAAAATATAAAATATTTTTTTCAAAATCACATCAATCTCTCTCTCTCTCTCTCTCTCTCTCTCTCTCTCTCTCTCTCTCTCTCTCTCTCTCTCTCTCTGCTCATTCACTCATCCTAAACAATATGTTATAGCACTCGTAGACAACCAGTACATGCATACACTTTCCCTCTTACTGTCGACCCATTGGCCTATTCATTGGATCTTTTATATTGTGTGATCCGGTGGTATTGTTAAGTGCCATGTATTGAGATGTAGGCAACCGGAAAAAAAGTTAGTCAAAGAGTGGCACAAAACTATAGCAAAGTATATACTGTCAACTGTATTGACATTACAATAGATGCCAAAACAATTGTTCGCTGAATTATAAAGATTTTTAAAAGCATATACACAACGATATATAAAGTTTTATATATGTATTGAGAAAAGTAGTATAGTATATACAGTAATATATGGGGTTATACTACTGTATACTATAATACAGTATATGGTTTTATAATACTAGTTTTGTTGGCAAAATACTTTATGGCTTTTGAAAAAATAGTATACTTTTAGTAATATAGTATTTTTCAATTGAAAAGCCGCACGACTTAACTGTTAGTTACCACTCAATAGGTCTTCTCAATAGGGAATCCGTGTTACTTAGCCCTCGGGTTGTCATTATGTTTAACATAATTTTGGCTGTATTTTTAAAAACCACATTATATTATAATATCTTTATATAAATATATAGTATTTTTTTTGTCACACAAACATTGACTTTACACTAAGTAATTAAGTTATATCATAACCAAAATAAAATAAATATATTTTTTGTCCAATAATAACTCAGTTATTATTTATCACTATAAATTAATCTAGCATAAACATGTATAGTTAATTATCTAGTAATAGTCAAACATAAATCTATACTATAAATCATAATTAAACACATGTATAAAGCAAATATATTAATATGAATTTTGTTTTGTTGGTAAATATGCTAATGTTGTTATATTATGCTATTAATTATGCCAAACATTATCTAAATTTATTACACCTATGAATCTTATAACTAAAGATTTTTAAGAAAACAAATAAAATTTTATGACATTATAACTCATATTGTATTTAGCAAATGTATTATCTTTTAATATATATATATATATATATATATAGTGACCTCACTATCACCCAACCATTCACCAAATGGGTCGCAATGTGACTCTCCATCGACAACCACATCATCAACACTGTTGACATCGTTGTCATCTCTGAGACGACCCAAACGGAACCGGACGTCATTCAAACACCAACAGCTCAGAGCAATGAAGCAATACTTTAACCTCAATCACAATCCGGACTCCAAAGACCTGAAGCAATTGTCGCAGAGGACAGGCCTAGCAAAGCGAGTCCTTCAGGTATGCTAATCGACATTATATACTCTACTCTAAGGCCAATAACTGTTATAATAAGCATTAATACTATTCAAAATAATACAGTGGCGTATAATACTGTAATAATAATATTATTAATAATGCAATTGTTTTTTTTTTGTGCTTGAATTTCATTTACTACACAACACTACAATAATATACAGATATATATACTGAGACAATGATAAACAATCAGATAATAAGTTAATAGTTTAGCAGTCAATAGTGTATAGCTGTATATGAAATCAGTATGTTTAACGTAAATTTGTTTTTTATGACATTTTTATTTTATTTTATTATCGCAATATATTTTGTACAAACTATTAGTTTATTGTATTAGATACTGTATATATATATATACCCTAAAAAAGCAAACAATAGATATGTTTAAATAATATTTAATAATTAATTCAATTTCATTTATGAGATGTAGAGAGGAAAACCTTTAATTTATACATAACCTACACATATGTATGTATATATTGAGGCATTGGTTTGGGTCGTAGGTATGCGTCTAAAAACTATTATACGATAACAATAACAATAATAATAATGTAATAAAATATATTAGTTTATATATATATATTTAGTGTAGTCTATGTATTTTGTACGTTATTTTTACAACTGATTATATAATTTTTTTATTGTCAATAAAGTTTAGGGGGAATAAAAAGCATCGTTAACTATTTCCACTTGTTTTATATTCAATCAAATAATTTACATTAATTTTATTTATATACACATATATATATACAGTACAGTATATACTTTATACACACGCCTTCCCTCACACTTCTCATTGAAAATTCAATTATTTTACGTGTAGTTAAAAAAATTATATACAAAAAAATAATGTATTTTTATAAACTCTTATAAGTTTTTGTATGGTTTGGATGAATGATTTGGCCAAACGTCGGAAGTCATAAAAATCATTTGTATTTATAATTTAATGATTTTTTCTCTGTCTATATCTTCATACCTCCTCCTCCTAAATGCCAGTCAATGGACTATTTAGTTACTTATAATAGTAATCGATTGTATTATTAATTATACCGACAATTGTTATGCCAATTTACAACAAACACAAATACTTATAATCGCAAAAAAAGCAGTAAATTTAACTAAAATTTTAAATTATTTATATATATATATATATATATATATATATATATATATATTAATATTAATTATATTATGCAAACTGTCTATCGATAGGTCTGGTTTCAGAACCAAAGAGCTAAATGGAGACGAAGTCTATTACGACAACAAAGTTCAGGGCCTCAGATAGTGGAGGAATGCCAGCCATTGACCGAACTTAATGAATATGCGTTGAGTACTGACGAGGAACAGACCATCATTGAAGAGGAACAGGCGCTCAATAATAATAATAATATTACTACTAATAATAATTATACACATCTCTATTAATTTATACAATAATATATGTAAATGTGTTGTCATTTTTTTTTTGATTAGAAGATAATTTTAAAATTAATATAAATAAATAAAAAAATATTTGTAAAATAAATTCTGTATATTTAAAGAATCTATAATATATTATCGATTGGAATTTTTTTTTTGTTATAGATAGTAATGCTCATAATAATAAATTATTATTGTAATAAAATAAAATTATTTATGATATTTATGAACAAGTTTTTTTCTAGATGTGCATAAATTAATTGTTGTTAATATTAATTAAATTGTATAAATTTTAATAATAGTAAAAAATAGTTGTTATATTATAATATATCGGTCATATTATTATTATTATTAATATTAATACAATGCAAATTATTAAATATTTTATAATAATATACTTATATATATTGTATATACAATATCTTAACCAAGAAAAGATTAACCAACAAAATTATTTTCTTTTTTTAAAAAAAATTGACCAAAAAATAAATGCCAATCACTTAAGGCTACAATTACTCTATTGAGAGGCAAGTGTTTTGCGGAAGAGATCCTATGTATATGTAATATCCCCTCTATTTTATCGATGATTGACATCAAACAGTTAAACACTGCGAGAAGTGTTTTTCAAAAATGAAATAAAATGAAAATATCACAAAAACTAATGACCAAAATATGTATATAAATACGGAATATATTGTATAGTTTGTTGGCTTATAACAAATGACTCACTTTAAGTATGTATTGAATAATGATTTGATTTATGCTTAAACTTATACATTGACTGAACAGTAAAATAGATTAACAAAAAATATCTCCAAAATATAGTACTTAATATACAGTATATACATATACAGTATATTTATATATATAGCACAGTGAGTATCCTATTTCTATAGCAATTAAATCATTGACTCATTTATTATAATATAGAGTAAAAGGCTTTTTTTCGTTGGTCTCCGGAGATCAAGAATTTCAAACAAATATTTTTGTTGAACTTTTCGCTTATTATGCAATTAATCACTATATTTGTGCAAATTTTGCACATATTTGTGGCCAACATTTGAAATTCTAGATGTGATTTGTGGTCATAAATCTCCTACAAAATAAAATGAGAGAAAGAGAGCTAAACACACCATACATGTTATTATTACATTATTAATTTATAAGTTTTCATAGACTAAGTTCAGCTCCCAGTGCTCTCACTTTTTTTCAATAAATTAAATACCATTGAGAGAGAGAGAGAGAGAGAGAGAGAGAGAGCCAACCTAAATGGTGCAAATGATAATTTTGTTGTAATTAATATATTTTACAAATATATATAAATTACTAATTAAACATATATTACACTAACTTAATACTGTTCTGTAGTATATGTTTTCTAGTGAACTACTGTTTTTCTGATGTGATTAGCATTAATATGTAGTTTTTATTATAGTCAGTGCACACACACGTCGACAATAAAAAACAGCTCTTCATTGCCACACATATACAGACCAAACACTGAGAGATCATTGTTTGGATAAAGTATTTCATAATAATGAAAATAACTTATAAATAAATACAATCAAAGAGTATATTTGTTATTATGAGACTAAATATGTCATACAATATATTGAGGAAAGAGAGAGAGAGATATTAAAAGTATCCAAAAGTTGACACCAATTGGTGCACAAAAAACAGTGAACTAACTGTCTTTCATTGTACTGTTTCATAAAAATGACATATCATTCATGAAAAAGGTTGGGATGAGTGATGAGCTCTCCCTATCCCTCTATACTGTACTCTCACACATACTATAATATTTAAAAATATATTCAATACTAGTATTATATGAAAAGCATATCAGAAATGCCAATGATTTTCATGTGTATAACAAACTATGTTATGTTACAGAAAGAGAGAAAAAATATGTATATATTTTTAATATAGTATATTTATAAACTGTATATAACATCCATAGTGTCAAACCATTTCACATCTTTCATGATTATTATAAATATAACTTTTTTTAGAAAATATATTTTTTAAAATAACTTTTTTTGCTCCATAGACAGTGCGTAATGTTTATGTAAAAATGTGATCAATTATTTTAAAAATCATTTACATATTTATAAATCTCTCTCTCGCTCTCTCTTCACTAACTCTGACCATTGATGTCTCTCATCTTCAATATTATATATATATATATATATATATATATATATGAGGACCGGATTTTGGGCGTAAATTTCATCTGTCGTTTGCAATGCTTTGTAACGAATTCCTCGTATATATTCTTCCAGAGAAACACCGGATATCTGAGTGTCTTTCGATGGCCTAAACGGTTCAATGAGTGGCCAATTGAGACAATATATCAATAGACATGTCAGTCGCCAATGAATAATAAAGAGATAAACTCTTTTTTTTGTTAACAAACTATATTGTAATCTAAGTTTCCTATTTAGACCTAAAAATTATTTTACATTTCCAGCTATTTTTTAGCATTAGTTATAGTTTTCAAACAATTTTTGAATTTACAACAAACAAAAAATCGACAAATTTGTTGTTTCGTGTACTAAACAACACAAATGTGTTCACATATTAGCACAGATATGACTATTTATGATGAGATTATAATCTATATTACTTTAACTTACAATAACTTAATAATAATACATTACTGTATGTATTATATGTACTGATATTTTATTATTATTTTGCGGTGAAAACAATAGCTGAAAGACACATGAGATGTGATAAATGAGTTTTGTTTATGAAAAACGATTTCCTGACAATAAGGTAGCGATGATGACGAGGGGACAGACCTTTTGTAATGATAGATAGAGTGGCCCTTTCCGTACACCCATCGAGAGAGAGAGAGAGAGAGAGAGAGAGAGAGAGAGAGACTGTTAGTAAACAGTATTCTAGTAATATATATGTGAGTCCTACACACTGGTAGGCAAAGGTTGGCTGAATCCAATGGACATAATGTCAGACACTTTGAAGGATGATATCTGACTGACTGAATGGATCCGTTAAAGAGCGCCACAAACCTATTGAAACATATGTATTGTGGACTAAGCGTCGCCATCACTGGTAACGGGCCATTGATAATACTATTTGGCACCGCATATACCATTGCAAATACATATTTATAAGCATACATGAGCTGAAACACATATTACAGTTTATTTTTTTACAGTTTAGTATAGTAGAGCTCATGTACGCTGAGAAGGACAGTCAGTCAGTCAGATGAGTACCCATAACGGTGTAATCCCTGTGCGCTAAACTATGGCACCAAACATCGTGGGCTAACTATGCATTCACTATAACTGTAAAAACTGTATCAATTAGATACATAAAAACAGTATTTATTTTTTTGGTTATGCATTCATTCATTTTAAATGAGTTGTAGTGCACAACAAATATTTTTACTTAATTTAAAAAAAGACTTTTTCTAAAAAAGTTAACCATTAAAATAGTTATCGCGGAGACAACAAACCATAGAGAAATGGTATATAGTTTAGTATAGTTTAGTAATAGTAGTAGTGTTGGTGGGTATCATCATCATTGAGTACTATATGATGATCGAGGAAAGGGAGGATGTTTTTTTGGATGGCGTGAAGAATATTTTCTTTTCCATATATAACAGGGAACGACACTTTCAATTAGGGAGAGAGAGAGAGAGAGAGAGAGAGAGAGAAAGCAGACCTTAATTATATAGTTTATGAACTTTGTGTGTGTTTTTTATACTCTATTTTTTCTCTGTCCTTAACCAAAGGGGCGGACTTATATTGTATGGGTAGACACCAGTCATTTCTCACACATCTAAAAAAGTATACCTCATTTAGCTTGCTTTGGGACATAAGTGATAAGTACTTTACAAAATTTTTTTTTAAAAAATCGTATAAATTATAAGCACTTCCCTAATGATTCCTTAATTAATAACATTCCCGACATTGTATTATATAACAGTTATGCTTATGCTATAGTTTTCAGTATTATATACAGTATATATTTCTATCGGTTAAATATTTTTATAACTATTTGATATTTTTATTTCGAAAAATTGTTTATCAATTAACACATAATAAGTTATTGTTTGCTTAACATTTGTGATGCATAAATTGACATATAAACAAATTATTTGATGCATTTAAAAAATTAGTCAAGTTATATATATTGAATAGTTTATCAGTTTAGTTTTTAGTTATATGAAAATTTTATTTCATTATGTAAATGATTAAAATATATTTTGTATAAATACTTATAATATTTTTTAAAAATATTATTAACATTATTGTTAACAATATTATTTTTGTTTAAAAAAATTATTGTCACAATTGAGTGCACATAAATTGTTTGTTTAGCTAAACGGTATATTGTTATTATATAAATAATTTGAAATGTACTGTATATTTTATCATCAAAATATTTAATTATAAATTCATATATATATATATATTGCTAGTTTGATGCAATTTTTGACAAAATAAGTTAAACAAAATATTTAAACAAATGATTAAATTTTTGAATATTTCAAAAAAAAAGTTTTTGGTATAATATTTTTAGAATTAATTAAATATAATTTGCAAAAACTGTTTGTTTTTATTAAATATTCAGATTATTATAATTACAAATATAAACAAACAAATAATTTACTACTAGATTGAATTAGTAAATTTGTCAATCTATTTTAATCAATATTATTTGTCAAATGTCAAATAATTATTTTAATACATTTAAGTTATACTGTTAGAAATTATTAAAACAAACATTACTTGATATATTGAAGTTTTATAATATAATTAAAATTTGATGACTGTTGTAATGTTTTGGTGTAATCACCAATTCATTGTCAACAAAATTGACATTACCTAATAGCTAATTATATGGCAATTAATCATCAATTTAATGGCATATTTTGTGTGTGTGTGTGTGTGTGTGTGTGTGTGTGTAAGTATATTGTC